ACCTAATTTAAAATCCATGGAATTCAGTACACTGGGTATTTCTAACTGTTAACAGGGATACTTCTGTGTATGGGTTTGGGGTTTTGCTATCACCCATTCAGAACACTGATTTCTTTCTTCTCTGTTGGTTGCAGCCGTAGGAGAGAAGATGAACACCCAGAGCTAACAGTGGCCCACACAACAAGGCTTAGCACTGACCCCAGATGGGGACAGTGGGTACCAATACACTGTTCCACCACCCTGTACTGCATTTTCTGCTGGCAGCATTCATAGTGCTCTTGTTATAACACTGGAAAGCATTCTCTTGTAAAAATGGGACTCCGTAGGGGAGAAAAAGAAGAACAGTTGCTGCAATGTCTTTCTTCTAAAGTCTTCTAAGCCATTAAATGATAATGAAAAGCCCAATAATTTAATATTATTAGGACATAAATCCTTCAGCTTTGACATCTACACAGTCCTGTGACATGGAGGATGATCTTGATCTTTCAAAAAAATCATCTTTGTGTGCTTCCTCTCCTACCCCATCAAACCACCAAGCTATTCCCAAACCCTTCTACAAATGGGAAAAGGAAACTGAAGCGAGACCAACATCCTCAGCTTCAAAAATGATGTTGCTCCCTTGTGTTGTACCATTTGCTTCCTTTTGAGTCCTGCTGAGTCACAAAACCTAACAACATGCATAAGCTCTGCTTAGCTTTCGTTCTTAACATTCAGGTTTAATTCAGAGCTTGAGCTATGGGGTCTTTTAGTTCAGAATCATCGAGGATGGAAAAGTCCTTTGAGATCATCAGGTCCAACCATCGACCCAGCGCTATCACTGTAACCACTAAACCATATCACCCACGAATTTTTATCCACACAAGACTTTAAATGCTATCATTTCTGATTTCAGCAAGATATTTTAGCTCCTCTGTATACTGTGCCTTCTTTCTAAAAATAGTCTGAGTTTCTCATCTTAAAAACTGGTCTGGCTTCAGACACAGTAAGAGGATGATTTGGAAAACTTTTCCTCTGTTCATCTGATACTCCTGTAAGTGCCAGAGAGTAGCAAATAATCACTCTACTCTTCATAATAATTCTGATTATATCCATATTTTATGAACTAAAATTAGCAATAATGCAGATCAGAGTTGCACAATGACTGTTATTAACAAGCAAAGGATGATACATTCATGCACAGAATGACAGAATGAACGAGGTTGGAAAAGACCTCTGAGATCATTGAGTCCAGGCTGTTCAAAGCCCCATCCCATCCAGCCTGGCCTTGAACACCTCCAGGGGCAGGGCCTCCCCACCCTCACAGGAAAGAATGTCTTTCTAATATCAAGTCTATATCTACCCTTTTTCGGATTAAAGCCACTCCCCCTAGTCACTATATACCTATAACTCTGTACACCCTTGTAAAAACTCTGTAGGAAAAATCAGCTTGCCAAGAATGAAGCCAGAAGCCTGTTGCAGAGCATCTGGTTCCCCTAAAATGCAAAATGCAAAGTGTCAGAGCAGACTCCTGAAGTCTTTTGTATGAATCCCTCCTTTGCTCCTTTGAGGTATTTGAATATCAGCTCCCCTGCATGTTGAGTCTTCCTACAGATACCAGATGTAAAACGTGCTGACAGCATAGATGTCGAAGACAGAACACCTTCCTTTCACCCTGGCAATTAATCTTTTTAGTAAGAACAAGTTCTTTTTATGCATTTTTGTACCTGGTTCATGACAACAGCTAGAAAACAGAGTGAGAAATGCATCAAGGAGAGCCACAAGAAATGCTGTGGGCTGGCAACATCCCAGCAGTTTGGGGAGCACAATAAAGGGCTGCCTGTTTGTAACTTCCTCTGGCTTGTTCTATCAAGCAAACAAGCACCCAAAGAACATTTTTAAAGGTTTCCATTAACCTGGGTTTCCTGGGCTTTCCAACCATCGATCTCTTCCAGGAAGTGACAAGATATATGTACACATACAAAGCTGTAGCTGTGCTGGCAGGGAATGCTGCAGGGTATCAGCTAATCCCAAAATGCTGAGATGGTGTTGAGGCTTTCCTGTCCTCTGCCCCCTGAACGTGTGTGCCAGAGGTCAGACACCCAACTCCACAGCATGGATTTCATTCTTAGATCTCAGGGGGGGCATCCTTCGAAGTGATGTCACGACAAGATGAGGATTTACAATTTAACAGCAGGATGAACAGTTAATACCTGTGTTTAGCTGTTGGATTTTTTACAAGCTGAAGCTGGAATATTTGTAGTCTAACGACAAATGTAAAAATTGAGACGTGAAATTTGACATTTAATCTTCACCACATACAGATTTTACACATGGAATGTAAGTTCTTGAGGTTCACACGTGTATGAGGCATGGGAGATACACTTTGGAAAATACAGCCAGATCCTTTGCCAGGTATTGAGCTGCTCTCCTCAGCTGCTTTTGATTTTTAAAACCTCTTTGAAAGGTGCAGATTAGCTCTTTTGTAAATACTTTAGCCAGTCATAAATATTCAGCATTTTAAAGAGCTGTAAGGTCAAATTCTTGCTTTTCGTAACAGCTTAGTCTTTCCACAACGTTTTATGAAATATTTTGTGAAAAATCAAGCATCTGACAATCTAATTAGATATCAACTCTTTTTCTGAATTTGTTAGATTAAAACACACAGATTGGGATTTACACAAGCAATGAAAGGAACCCTGTGCAGTGTTGAAAAGTTGCCTCCTTAGTCAGAAGAAGTCTGGAAAAGTTTTGTTGAAAGCACACATACCAACACAAAACTTTATCTGTAATGTCTCTGAGAAGCATGCTACTCCCCTGAATAAATCAAAAGCCACAGCTCTATTAGTTATTTACATAATTAAGACCATGCTGAACTAGTTGGTATCTCAGAATTGACTGCCCATTAACCCCTTACCTTCCACCAGCTGGTCTGGTGACAGCAGGAGAAAAGGTAAGTCCTCATATTCCCTTCGCTTCCTGTAACCTGCCTGTGCTATCAACACTTCCCTGGAGGAGGGGGAGGAGAAATAAGAGATAAAGAAAATATAATTAGGGGGTTAAGAAGTCAACTCCAGGAGAGAAGGCCTGGAAGGCATGCCCTGTGCTGCATCCCAAAGAGGAAACGTTTGCTTTCGAAGCACTTGAGGGGAATGAGCTCCCAACAATGACAAGAGAACCCAGAGATCCATTAGGACCCAGAATTCAGCTGGATGAAAGAAAAATCCCACTCATTTCTGTCAGCATTTCCATCTAAACAGAACAGACTGAAAATGTCTTCAGAGCCAAACTCCTTACTGTTTGCTTAATGCACTGATTAACTGATATTTTCTTTAAATTATTTGCTTCACAATCTTTTTATTATCTAAATCAAGTTGAACAATTATATATTTAAAAAGACTGAAGCTAATGGGAACAGTAACATTAATTTTAATAACTGGTTAGTTAATAACTGGACAAGCATCACAGATCTTTAATGATGTGAGGGTTGTTTTGTTTGAAAGAATTGTTTTCAGATTCAGAAATGCCCCTTCCTCCTTAAAAAGCAAAGTTAGTGCTATCAGTGCAATCAGTCCTCATCACATATATACATTCTAGATACCTAAATCCAGAGAAGTTTCTCAAATAGGTGGCTGTGCTAACAGTTATGGCACCAAAAATATTGAAGAATCCAGTTATAGCTCCAGTTCCTTTTCAAGACTCAGTTTACCAAGAATCACACAATGTCCAGAATTTTACAGAGCACCAAGACATCTAGTGAGTGAAAAATATATTGCAAGTAAAATGACTGTATGTTATGTAAACTAAGCAGTGTTTGGTTTAGTTATTAGATGCAAGAAGTCTATGGGATCATTGCTAGAGGTGAATTATTACCACATGATTTTTTTTCACTGTACATTTACAATTCTTACAGTTCCCAGGGATAAAAATAAATAAATAATAATAAAAAAAAGAATGGATCAAATGCATCCAAACCCATCCGTGTGGCATCTCATTGCAGTGCCTCTGGTCTTTTATTGGGTTCTTGCTTTAGTAAAGACCTGGTGCCATAAGAACTCAGAGAAATTGTGTTTACTGGTTTTGCAGATAAAGAAGGTCTGGCCTATTTTTATGAAATCCTACCCATTAAACACATACCTGGCATGTTTATCACTACAGACCATGTGCATTTAAATTCCAGCTCAGAAACTGTGATGAAGAATAGGGCACAGGATGCCTGAACTGTCCTTTCTTTCTGAAGGAAACACAGTTTTTCCACAACTGTATTGACATGAAGAAGTACGACAAAAAGCTGGAATGACTTAATTCCTGACTCAATGAAAAGACCAAGCTAATTATTTTCTCTGTGGGCCTGGAAAACACAGTTCAAGCAATCTGCCATCATCAGCTTCAGATACATCAGAACTTCTTCCTGGGGCTCATAAAATAGAGAGCGAGAAAATCAGTTCAGAGAGCAGAACCCCAGACGTTCTGCCAAGAAACCACGTGCAGAAGAATATGTTGGAAAGGCATAAAACCAACACATGAATCAAGGAACAAAAAATGTACTTTTTCGAGTTGAAGTTGAAATTATCAAATAATCAAAACAAAAAAAATGGGGGTAAAAAAATCCCCAAACAATCAGTGTACTGTAAATAAAATGTTTTGATGAACTTCAGGTTCACTAAAAGTTACAAGGGTTGGAAATTATAAGAAATGATCAGATTCCTTGAAACTGAAAGTTAAATCAGATTCCATGATTTGTGTCATTGCCTTTATCAATTTCTTTTTTAACCCAAAAATATTCACTTTTATGTCCAGTAAATAGCACATGCTGTATATACATCTATCTATCTATCTATCTATCTATCTATCTATCTATATTTCTTTCCCTATTTCTCTTTCATTAAGAAAAAGACACTCTTTAAAACAGGAGTAATAGTACAAGGATTTTTCCTTGGGAAAAAACACCTCAGTCTCCACACTTAAGTGATGCTGGAAACTCCTTAAGGACTGAGGATACTCAGGCTGCTTGTGACTCCTCTGTCCTACCCAAAACCTACACAACCATGCAGACAGATTTTGTCTGTTTACTTCTAGGACCCACCTCTTGGTTTTCTCCATCTGACCGTGAATTAAGTTAGCTATGAGACACACTAACAGCTAAAATCTGACCAACAAGGGCAACTTATGCCTGGGGGGGAACTGGAACCCAAACAAATAGAAACTTAGTTTGCATTGAACTTTAGTCTTTCTCACCAAAAAGTGCAAAAAGCACGAGCTGACCCTCAGTAAATTACTGGAACGATAGTTTACAAATCACAACACTAAGCTTTCTCTATTTTCATAGCATTTTGAGGTTTTGTTTATTTTTAATGGAAGTGACATTCAATTCGAGACTTTAATAAAGAAAATACCAAATACAAGTCTCAAAATAAAGCTGTGACAGTGACTAATAACAGACACAGTTTAACTCAAGACACAGCTCATGCTGCAAAAGCTGTGGACTGAAAAGGCACAGACAGGACAAACCTGATGAAGCAGCAGCCCCCTGTGAGGTAGATACCCTTCGAGAGAGTAGTTGTGTACAATGGAAAGAAACACACACTTTCAGAGTTTAATTTGCCTTTCTCAAAGGCCATCGCTGCACCCTGAGCATGCCAGTACATACTCACTGATACAAAACAACATAGTGGGGCCAGTTTACAAGGTAGGGATCTGAAGTTAGGTGAGATGAAAGTGAACACAAGGAGCTTTCGTTTTTCCTTTGTCTCCAGCTATTTGAGAGAAATTTTAGGAAAGGCTTATCTGATTTAAACTGATGAGCAATTCTCACATTTCTCAAAATTCACCCACTTCGACACCTGAGGGGAAGAACAGCCCTTAAAACCACTCTTCAAAGTACACAGTGCTGCAACCAATTCTTGAGCCTGCAAATCCAGCTGCATTTGAAATCCATGACACAGACTTTCAACCTTCCCCTCCCTTCTCCAGCAGCAGGGAGAACTGGTCTTTCCAGAAAGCTGGGTTCTAAACTGTGCCTCCAGCTGCAGTGAGTCAAGGTTCCACACTGGATTGGCTGAGCCGCTGCTGCTTTTCTGCCTCGTGGTTTTTGATTCCCCTAAAAAAACTACCAAGGGGATTTAGGTTGGACTTACAGTGCAGAAAAGTTACCATCTTTTATAACAGGGGGGAGGAAAAACTTTTACAAAGTAATAACTGCTCTCTCTGTACACGGTATTTATTTGTGTGGTATTGGACATTACAATTGGTTACAATGTCCTTTGCTGCCAAGGGTTTTTGGGATTTATTTTTGAAAGGGCGAGCACTTCTGACTTTTAATGTTAGTTCCAGACATTGTTTGAGTTTGGTTTACGCTCTACCAGTAAGCTTCTATTATATTTTTTAACTTATAAACTTGTATTTTTTAACTGCCAAAGCGCATTGAGTTGCCTGGCAGAGTGTGCCTTTAACTCATCATCAGCAACAGTGATATGGCAGCAAAGCAAGAAAAAAAATTAAAACAAAGCCATGGAAAACATGTCACAATATGTTTTCTAGACAATATTTAATTGCAACTGCCTGAGACAGTGCCTCTGATAGCAATGGACCACTGGTGCAGTTAAAGCACTGCTTTGCATGCCAGCCATTACCAAAAACCAGATGATTGAGAGTCTCCCTTATCACTCAGCCATGCACTGTAACCCAGCTCCCTACACCCCATTTCATATGTGTGTTTTCCACCTGGCAATCCAAAGTGCTGATTTATGAAAGCTGGCAGCTTTCAGACATGCTACAGCTTCGGCAGAGAGAAGTTACTTACTTAGCATGGCCTTGATCTAACAAGAGTCAGATACACAACTTGGGAGTTTTAAATCAAGTTCTTTGATTTCATCACAAGGCAGCATTCTTTACCCACTCCATATTGTCTGAATGTTAATTAAAGAGCATATTGTGCAATTCTACAAACTATACACAGCTAGACAAGGATTGTTTTTTGAGATCATGCTTCAAAACCTCATGATTATTCATTTTACTTCCCTTTTGTGTTAAGAAACCGAAGCAACACTAAAACTCAGCCAAATGTTTTTCATATATATAAAAATACACATATTACATATATTAAGACTGTGCGAGGGCATTTGAAACCTTTATGCAAATAAAAATATAATTTCATACATGTGTCTACTCTTGAAAAAGTCCAAAGATAAAACAGAATGAAAAAAATGCTTCATAGCATTAGCAGAAAGAAGAAAACAAACAAACTCCTGGATACACTTTGTAGATAGCATCATGAGCTCGTGAGGTGTGTCTTCTTCTTGCCAGTGATTTGGTCTAGAAAGCCTGCACTGCAAACCCTTCCTGTAGAGGACTTCGAAACAAAAATTTACGATTGAATAGGCGCAAAATTAAAAGGAAACAGTGGCACAGCTTTGCAGAACTTGTGTTACAAGCAAAGTCAAAGCGCCAATTAATCCTGTTTCTCTCCCCAGATAGGCTCTCTGTTGAGCACACAGGGAAACACAAGTCACAGTGCACAAATGAGTCACCGTCCACACATTCATGTCCTGCCAAGTAGCTGTTTGCAGTGAAACCTTAACTGCAGCTCAGACACTAAGGGACACACTTGGAAAAGTAAAATCAGGGTTTTAGCATCAGTAGAGGAAGTACATTTTCCCACCTCAATCCCTCCCCCAAAATATCATTTAAACTGCATCCAAACCCAAGCTAAAACTGCCCTTAAAGAGCAAAAGCCCAAAATCTTGTTAATTCAACACTGAACTTTGAACACGAAACTATGTTTTTTTTACCAGAAATACGATTACAAGAGATTTTTCACAGAACTTCTGACAAAAACAAAAATCAAACCACTTCATTTCCCAATAGTCAGCTAGTGATTTCCATTCACTTTTAACATGGGTACTCAGGTGAGTGACCTAGTAGCTAAATGAGAATACATTACCTGGAGCTGTTTAATCCTTTCTGCTAAAAGTATTTTACTTTGCTTTAGTTTACTTTACTCTTACTAAGTAAAAGTTCATGGGTCAGAGACTGAAACTCACATATCTCATTTTCTAGACCAATGGCTTTGGAATTATTATTACCTGTAAACTATCCTAGAAAAAACACAACCATTTCAAAAAGAATGAGGGAAGTCAAATTCTATAAATTTACTGGTAAGGACAGCAAATGAAAAATAAATCACTGATCTAACTGGACTAGGCATGAAGCAGGTTAATATTTTAAGTGCCTGTACCAAACATTTGAACTGCTTTACAAGAAGATTATGCTTTAAAAGTATCAAAGGCTTAAAGGTAAGTTGCAACGACACTTCTCAATAGTTTTAAAAGGCATAAAGTTGAAGCTTAGTGTCCCTACTCCTGTTTAAGCACTTTAATCCTGAAATCTTATACCTCTGCAGCAGTCTTAGAAGAAGCCTAACAATTTTATGTATGAGCAACACACCCAGACCACCTGAAATAACAAAAAAAGTTGGAAGATTTTTTTTCAAAGATCTGTTTGTGCTGGAATCTCATGAAACATGATAGGCACATAGTTCAATAATAACTTTGGCATGAAAAGCAAGTTAACGAAAAAAAAAAAGGAACAGGAGAAAAAAACATCAGAAGCATCTGGATCCCAGGGCTTCCTAAACCAGTATGAAAATACTTTCTTTGCTAACTTCATTGGGGCTGTATTTCCCACTTCATCTACACCAAGAATGCTGGTAGTTTTACCCTTCCCTTTTCCTTCCTGAGAAGTACAGGAATTTGGATATGAAATAAAACCAAAATCTGGAACCCAAAGGAAACCAAGAAACCCAAGAAATCAACCTCAGGTTGGGGCTGAAGTCTGCACAAGGAAACAAGGAAGTTTCATACAGCTGATGTCAGCTGCAAGGGGCTGGAACATCACAAAGAAATCACTTCTGAACGGTGGAAATAAAGCCACTGGTGTCAGTCCTTTGAACCAGAGCATCAGCAAGAACAACACAGGAGTTCCTGGGACCCATCCTCTGCAACTTGATCGCAGTTTTGTTAGGAAAATTGTACATGGCTTTCAGGAACTGTTATTTAATGGTGGATGTGCCAATGTGAAGGGAAACAGAAGAGCTTTCTTCTTACCCTGATCAACACCTTACCCAAGAGGACCCACATATTGTGGATTTCCTACCTGTGCAACCACGTATGGGGGGGAATTGTATAATGAAACTTGTAGGGTTTGGTTTTGTTTTGTTTTAGTCAGACTCAAGTTACAGTGAAAACATTCCAGCACTTATTAACGTTTTGGCATTGCTGGATTACTTATTAACAACTTGTTGCCTTAATCCCAAAACACACAACCTCACACTGCTTAAATGAAAAGTCAAAGACCCATCTTCCACAGGACCTATACACAAAAGCACTTACTATGATGTTTGTCGAGCTGGATTAAGCACTTATTGTTGTTCAGTGTTAATAATACTGAAATAATTTCAGTTTTAACTTCAGTAAAACAAATCAAAGTCTGAGTTCTTTGTAACAATATCGTTAACATAATTGAAACGTAACTGAATGCATCTCCCTACAACACAGTTCAATAGGTTTTAAGAACTTCAAGTATCTCGCTTTCCAAATGACCCACTCTCCCAATTTTCTGTAAATTCAAATTTGCCTGTGAACTAAACACTTGGAATCCCTGTTCAAGTCAATAAGACAGCCCAATAAAATGTTTAATTCTGTATAATTAAAGAAAAGTCTTTGCATTTTCCCAAAACTGATCTCACTCAACTACAACGTTAGAGAATTGTCTAATATGTCATTATAAAATGATTTTTCTGCAAAAACATGGGGATGGAAAAAAAGCTGATGTTAAGTCTCCTGTTATTTTAGCAGCAGAGACATCAAGATGCGAGATCTTGGATTGGTTCCAGTGAGTAACTTGAGACTCTGAAACTCGATCGACTGTGAGATTTTGTGCACAGAGAAATTCAGGAGAGACCTTAATAACAAAATAACTGAATGCTGTTTAAGTTGCAACAAAGTGTCAAGATTTTATCTCTCTAATATCTGAGAAAGAATGGTGTAAATTAGTTGCCACAACAGCATGAAATAATAGCCTTCCATAGCACACAATCTAAAACTATGCCACAAGGCCACACCATTTCATTGTCTGTTTGATATCTCGTTGGAAAAAATCCAAACACTATTTCTCTTCTTCTGCAAAACCATTATGTGGATTGAACCAGAGCCAGTATGCACACTCAGGAGCTATCCTGCCTTAACCTTTTTTATAGTTTAGTTAGGACAGAACTGTGTTTACAATGCTGTGGATAGACTACAGCAAGGGCCTCATCTTAAAGCTTCTATTTTAGGGCTTGTAAGTCATTTTATGTAGGTCACTTTATTTCACTACAAGCAAACAAATGCTAAAACAAATACAAAGTCACAAATAAACACTCAGGTGATTATGTCAACACACCTTCCTGGTGGCTACACGTTAGTTCAGAGAAACTATTAGAGAAAAAATTAACATGACAGCACATGACTCTTCAACTAAATCAGCCCCAATCCAAAATTAATCATCTCCATTACAGTAAAATGCTGTCCCTTCACCTACACACTCATGAGCTTCTCACAGCTTACACCACTGCCAAACTTCTGACTCTGATGAGACATCTCCACACAGCAAGTTCAGATGGAGAGACTAACAACTGATCTATCAATATTATTAAGACTAGAAGTAGGATCAGTATATTAGAATACTTATATGCCAGAATGTGCCTTAGTGGGTTTATTTACTACGTAAATTTTATAATACGTAATATACTTTTTAATAGTGTAACTTTTAAAGAAGAACAAGATATTTCCTAAAGTGATACAACCATGATAACAGGAAAAAAAAAGTCTTCTTTCCTTGTGCTTTCTCCTTTTCACCATTAATCACAGAATTGCTGGGATTGGAATGGACCTCTGGAAATTATCTAGTCCAACTCCCTTGTTCAAATCAGAGGCCGACTAGAGCGGGTTTCTCAGGGCTGTGTCCAGTCAGGTTCTGAACATCTCCAAGGATGGAAACTCCACAATATCTCTGGGAAATCTGTTCCAGCACTTAATGAGTCTCCCTTTAAAAATTTTTGCGTCATATTTAAATGGAATTTCCTGTACTTTAATTTGTGCTTGCTGCCTCTTCTCCTCTCACTGGGCACCACTGGGATGGGTCTGCTCTGTCTCCACCCATCAGGTATTTACAGACATTGCTCAGACACTGCTGAACTTTCTCTGCTTCATGCTGAACAGTCCCAGTTCTCTCAGCTTCTGTCTGTCAGATGCTCCAATCCCTTAATCATCTTCGTGGCCCTTCCCTGAACTTGCTCCAGAGTGTCCATGTCACTCTTTTACCGGGGTGCCCGGGGGGGACACAGCACCCCAAATGTGATCTCCCAAAAGAATAATCACATATACACAGAAGAATACCTTCAACAACAAGAGAGGAAAGGAAGAAACAATCCTGTGCATTTTATTGGTATTAAGGTACAGTCCCATTACAGCTGATTAAAGATGGCTTTTGCTTTTCCTTCCTTTTTTTTTTTTTTTTTTTACTAAAATGTAACATAGAAAAAAACTCATAAAAACCTGATTGGTCAGTTACCTGTAAATACAAAACCTATTCACAAAAATGAAGATAAAAAAGCACAAAGCCATCTGCTTTGGACATATGACTACTTAGAATTTCACATTTGTGGCCCAGTCTGCTCCAGATCATAAGAACAACTTTTTTCTGAACTATGACTTCTTTCTGCACAAGGATCCAATACCAGGGTTGTTCTTGGGCTTAGAAATTACCATAGGTGAAGATGTATGTGGCTGACAAGATACAGGTCTCTTGTTCTTCTTCATGGTAAGGACACTGTCTTCCTTTGGGGGAGGAACATGTATCGGTTTCCAAGGAATGGGGTTACAATATGCTGGGGCTGGATATGAATTCCTGTCAGCACTCCCTGAAACATTTAGAAAATACACATAATAACTAAAAAGGAACACTTACACTGCAAGCTTTTATAATAACAAACAAGCAGTTATAGTAATCATCTGGACTAACAAAGACACAACAGCATCTTCAGAGAAAGACAGCACAGGCACGTCACATAATTTAAATTATTCAAGATAATAAATATTCCTTTTTTTTTTTAACCCATAAATGGTGTGTTGTTCATCTCTACTTAAATAATGAGCAAGTTGAATGCTCAGTCATTGGCATACTTAAAAGCTGTAGATGTCTTTGAATTGGCTGCTACTTTGTTTACCCAACCACATGATGGATACACATCGAAGTCTGTGACACATTCTTGTTGCGTGAACACATTTGAGTAGAGAAATATTTTTCAAAAATCATTTAAATAAATGATTGCTGTTGTCAGTAAGTAGTGAAGGTCCAAACCAAAACGTGAAGGCAAAAGGTATCACTATCTATAAATAAATGTAAGCAAGAGAGTAAAGGCTGTTCACCTGCTTTATACATGTTTAAACATTCAGAATTTAGGTCCCAACATTATTTCTGTTTTGAATTCAAATAAAGACAAGTCTAAGTCACTACATATTTGTGTACTAGAAGTACAAACCTGTAGACTTCCCGTGTGGGAAATCATAACCATTTAAAACAGGGCGTGGTTTATTTCTAGCATTTTGTAGCCATTCCTTAAAGATTTTCTCCGATCTCGTTTTCTTCTCCTGTAGCTCAGCTTCCCGTTCTATTTCTTTTTCCTAAAAATAATAAAAAAAAAAAATCTAAGATACTTATAGACAAAGCCTTGTACCATATACACAAAATGGTAAACAATTTTTTTGCAGATTTCCAGACTGCTGAATGTATTATAAATATGTCTTCAACTACAAACACATTTCCCAAACAACAGAAAGGATGCAATCTTTTAAGTCTGAAAAAAAATTTAAAAAAACCCCCAACAACCTGCGTGTTACTCCCATGTTTCTGACAAAAAAGCTCAAAGACTATCAACAAAAATGCATTAATGTGCATCTTGCTTTGCATGTACAAACCACAGTGTCTTCAATGTGGACTAACACTGCAACTTTTCAAAGTTTTTTTTCATGTACAACACTGCCATTTGATATCAACATATTTAATATAGGTTACAGGTTAAGTAACTCCATCCAAATAAATGATCAGCTAATTAATACCTTTTCTTTTTTCTTCTTTTCTGCCTCGTCAGCTCTCTTCTTCTGTAGCCATTCTTTATACTTTGCCTCAGCCTTTTCCTGTAAATGCATTTTTTCGAGTTCCCTTGTGGCTTTTTCTGCCATTTCTTTGCTCAGCTTTCGTTCCCTTTCTCTTCTTTCCTGTGTGAAACACACCAAAGAAACAGCATACAAACTTCTCAGTATACTTCCACGAGCAATTCTTTTGAGGAATACAGTCAATTTTGCTACATAATTACAAATAAAATCATTGTGAACCTGAAACAAAATGTAATATTGTAACCTCCTCGAAGAGAACATATTCACCTCTAGGTTCCAGATAAAATAGTTTTAGACACATAAACCTGTCGGAAAAACACGATAAAAATTCTACTTCCAGGCCTCCTTATATTATTGTGTTTACTATTCTGTTATATTTATTCAGACATGTATTAAAACACACTTCAGACACTTCTCAGTATTTCTGGCAAAGAAATATATGCTGCAGTTCTCGACAGTGCTGTGTTAGTTCTACTTGTCAGTGAAATCTACAGCAAATTACAGTTCCAAATGGAAGACAAGGCAAACTGTCCCCTCCTAAGTCACTGAGATAGGCAGGTTGTTCAACACACTTGGGCACAAATTGATAGGAAAATAAAAAGTTCACATGAAAATATAGTTCGTGTTTTGTGGTATTCTCTAAATTTTTGTACATTCTTTAGTTCATTCTCATAGGGACTGCTCCACTGAATCAACCCACACATTTCTCCTCTCCAAATTATCAAAGGGAAAACGTTTCTTTATAGAAAAGAGCTGTTGAAAAAAAAAAAAAAAAGTCATTTTTCTTTTAAGAAATCTTTTACTTGTATGCTTCCCTGTGTACTGTTCTGGAACAAAGAAGATATGTAGTTTTTCACTTTAATACATTCTAGCAAATATCAGCTGAATCTGTACTGTAACATAGGGAAAGTGGTCAGATATGAATACCCTCCAATTTCAATGCACATTCTGGAACGTAAAACTCCACAGAATTACAAAGCAGTTGAAATCTTATTAATATGATTTCACAGCACTGAGGCCTGTACATGTAAACAAAATTATTTACAACTGAGACCAATGAAAAGAAAAATTTCATTTGGAAAAAATAAAAAGAAAAAGAAAAAAGTTGAGATTCTGAAATGTTTATGTACTAGTAGAGAATGGAAACAAGATCTTTCTTAACATGAAACAAATGTTTCCGTACTTAAAAACGCTGAAAAGGAAAATTAATGTATTTTTGGCAAATTATGCAGAGTCTAAGTATCACCTTCCTGAAAAAAACCCCAAATAATCAATCGCCTAAGGTCTTCCTCCTTCATCATCTAAAATTCATCTTAATCTCATTTATCCAGAGCTGTTTCTCTGTCTCTCCATTACAAATATTCCCCACATGCACCTCTCAACAACTCCTGTCTGTGACACACAAGAAGCATTAACATAGATGAGAGATAAAGGTGAAATCACTGAGTCAGACCATTGGTGAAGGGGGCTGACAAACACTTCACATATTTATTGTTTGCTGACTCACCTCTGATGGACATGAATGTAGGTTACAAAACCCAGGATCTTATAAAACTACAGCCTTAAGCTAAGGGTCTTAGCATTTAAAGGCATGAAAACAAACACAGGAGAAAACTGAAAAAGTGGGTCCCTTCCATACCCAGGAGAATTGTTCAATAATGGACAACAATTACCAGCAGCAAACAGACCGGAAATCTTTCTAAATATTCTAAATGAAATTCAGGGAAGCTTCTGAAATTCTGTATCTTTAATCAGAATACTTCAGATGAGTTTAGCTACTACCTGGGCCAGCCCAAAGTTAAACTAGGTCCTATGCAAACAATAATATGCCATGCACACTACTGTGAAAGCCACAACTATTGCCAAGTTTTACTTCCAGTGAGACATCCTTAAGAGAGGGAGACTCCCTGCAGAATTGCAGACTTTGCAGCTGCCTAGAAATTATTCTGCAGACAAATCAGAAACGCTTCCTCTCTCTCTCACAATCAGAACAGCTTCTCCTTCACAAAGTCAGTGTACACCACATTCCCAGCTGCTTCAGGAACCTGTTTCATGTCAAACTCCTGTCACCCTGGCCTTCCCAGCTTCCCCCCATCCTCATTTACTTTCTCTTATACAAATCTATCAAAAATGCTACGAATGTGCATATTAATGTACACGTTCTTCAATCTTCTTTTACTTTCCTTCCATGTATATATCTGGGAGGGAGAAATTACTTGTTTATGCTTGGTGTTGTCAGATTGGGTTTTAAAAATTCTCTTTGATCTTGTGTTCAAAACAGACACGATCTATTCACTAAACCACTAGTGAGCTTACATACATTAAAATATGATTACAGGTATTACCTAAATTAAGGTATTGATTGTAAAACATCCAATTACTCATTGCAAGAAAGGCTTGTTCTCCTGCCACCCTTCCCAAGCACGTAATTAAGGAGAGAGGATACAAATCTACCCTGAGGGTTCACTGCTCTGGGCTATGATCCTATCAAGCCTCAGAACCTAATGAAGTCTGGGCTAGGTCTGTACCTGGAAATCCCCCACCCAAACCAAATCATTCTGTCCCACAGAGCAGTGCTGGTGACTCAGTCTCACTGAGCCAGTACTAACTACTAACTTTTCAAGAAAAGTAGACCTACATGTATGTGGTCAGTAGTCAAAGGATTTTAAAATTTGAAGAAGCACCCCACTTCCTTCCTGACAGAAGGCAGAAGCGTTAAATCATTTTCCATGCAGGAAAAAAAAAGCCTAATTGCCTTAGAAACAGAGGCACTATATCCAACTGGAAGAAAACTAACAAAATATATATTTCTGTATTTTCATATCAATGAATAAATGGACAGAGTAAAATGCAGAGATGCTTCTGTTCTGCATTTTCTACGTAGGTTGACACTGAGTACAAATATTTCCAGAAATTAATGCTGTGATTGGTATTTTTAAGATACTTCTCACAGCAATCCTTTTCCACTATATGCCTGCAGAATGTGACAACATTTTTCTTCTCACAGGTAATGGTTCTGTTTCACAGCTGTTTGCTCTGACATCTCAGACATCTTAGTATCTCTTTCAAGTCTAAACTGTCAGCAAAAACCACAGTACATCAGGGTCTACCTTGACAACCACTGCTTTGACCCAGAACAATAGTTGAGCTGTTAGAACTCTAACCTAGGACAGGGAAGATCTGGATTTCACTCTTTTCCCCAGATGGGATTTAAATTAACAGGTCCCACTGAGAGGAGAAGTCTCCCCTCTTGGGCTGCAGGCTGGGATGACAGGATTCTCTACCCTTCTGCTGAAATGGCCCCACTCCTCACAAAATAATTAACAACTCGCTGGATGAAAGAAAGGGAGCATGAGCGAGCACGGCTTTTGAACTGGAAAGTCACGCTCAAGCTGTTGAACAATCTGTGCTCTTCATTAACAAGATAAAGTACACATTAAACAGAAAGTCTTTGGAGTCTAGGTGTCTCTTCTGGGAGGAATCACCCACCACACCAAGGAAGGGAAGTCTGCTCCAAGAACACCATCATTCATTGCTATCTACTGTGTTGGTTCTAGGCCTTCATACTTCTTACTGCTTTCTGCTTCTCTCATAAAGACTATCAGCCAAAGGCACAGTAAATTGTGAGAACAACATTTTCAGTGAAAAAGCATTAAAACAGAATTTTTCCCATCCTGTACCTGGTTTCCATTAAAATTATATTTTTTCCGTGAGTAAAGGGGTCTTATTGAAAAAAAAATAGATGAACAAAAAAAAGTTGAACATTCACATTTTGTGACTAATGCCTGCTTTGTTCATATTTACTTTTAAAAAACAAGGATGTTAAGAACATGAGTTTCAGAGCTAGCTATTTTGGGATGCAAGCATTCCTCTTCAGGGGTTTCTGTTACTGTTGCAAACATATGCATTACATCCATGCCCAAGTCTCCCAAGCATCCCCATTTTTGTCACCCAGTGCATATGCTCACATCATGTGACACAGAGCTGTACAGAGGCCCATGGAGATCAAGATTCTGTCTGCTTCTGATCCTGGACTGAGGCATCCCTCTCTTAAAACTTAAAAAACTTAAAATATCTTTCGATCCCACTCAGAAATTACTTTTTTGGATAAAGGAATTCCCAACTGCTAACTGTGGTCTCCTAAGAATTTCCTGAATCTGGCTCCACACCTCAATTATCCCTCTAAGCTTTACCATACTATTTGCCTGTCCACAATAGTACTTAACTAAATCCTTCTTCTGGCTCTGCTTGGTGTACAAGACATTGCACACAGTCACTTTACCCAAAATGCTTGGGCACTGAACCTAGGAAGTCTAAAAAGAGCAGGGTACACTGAAGACCAGAACCACAGCTAAAATCAGCAGAAGGCCACTGCACAAGATGTAGGCCAGTTATCAGTTACCTGAGTGCTCAGAAAACAAATGGCTTTGCACCTTAAGGAAGAAAACAGATCAGTCTTGGAAAAACATTTAACTGTTTTGGCATGGTTTTATCGTTTTCAATTAAAGCAGCCATTCATTCAGCAAACTTAAAACATGGGTGTCCAAACAGACTGAGTAAATTTTACACAGATTTATTCAAGCCATGGCACATATTTGCCAAAGCAGTGTTTACCTCTTCTCTCTTTTTTTGGACCCATTCCTTGTGTTTCTCCTCAGCTATCCTTTTCCTCCTTTCACGTTCTTGCTTTTGCTTCATCTTCTCAAGCTGTTTATTCATTTCCTAAATAAAGAAAAAGCATACATCTTAAACCCATGGTGACCATCTACACCAATACTGGAAACAGTGGTGCAGTTTAAACAACGTAAGCATTAGATTTTGGTATTTTTCCTTCATTGAGATTTTGGAAGAGACAGGTGACAGTCAACACAGAAATATTATGAAATACATTAAAGGGAAAAGGATAATTTTTAGAGTACTAACTGGAAATACACATGTTAATTAGGCTTTGGAAGCAAATCAATGGAACAAATTGCTCCTCAGCTTATTGGAACACCTTTTCAGTCAGTAGAATCTTAATCTGCAACGGTACTTCTCTACAATACTTAAAATATACATTGTGTAACGCTCTGCACTGGGGATGGTATCAAAAGATAAGTGAAATGTTACTCATTGGTGATTTGTAGTACCAGAGCTGCAGGAACCTTGGCTTAAGCCAAAGCTTATTAAAACCAAAATTACTGCAGATTTTAGCAAACTTTGAAACGGGAGCTTTATTTTGAAGATGAGAGAAGAAATTCTGAAGTATCTTTACATGACATGCAGTATATGTGCAATCACTTACGTATCTCCAGTGAAGAGACATCTGCTAGGCTACATTTAGAATGGTGTAAATGTTATTGTGTGCTACACGAGAATAAATTGTTTTGGTTCCTCATCAAGACCACATGAGAGGTCCACACACAAACCACGTTTTCTACATAATGCCCAAAATTGCTTTGGCTCGTTTTTTTGTACTTAAAAAATCAAAATAGAGAAAGACAATTACCAAATTAGAATATAAAGGGGAAGTCATGAAACCTTTGGTGGATATTAATGGATCAGAACATATTCCTCAAGCTTAAAGAACTACTTTGGTGTTCTGCTGACCTCTAAAAGACTGTTCCAGAACCTTCCACCAGCTGGTGTTTTAACATGAGGTGGCCCACATAAAACAGTTGCACTTTACAGATAATCACAGAAAGGCGAGGACACTGTTCAAGGTCAAATAGTAAATCAGTAACTAAAGTGAGAAATTATCTAACTTTGATGTGGTTGTTCTAATCACTACCCAACACTTCCACAGTTTGATTTTCAACAACAGTACTGTTTAATCAACTGCAATTACAAACATATTAATCAAGAAAAGATATAGTACTCTCATTTAATTGTGCCCCAGCCCTGGTGTTCAAGAACTGTTCATTTGCAAGGGGGCAAAAGATAGAATGAGGAGGGAGAAAACACTGTAACAGGGACCCCCATGCTGGGAAAGGACACCAAACAGCTGTAAAATTACACACTAAGTGGGTAACACTACTGTGGCTCCAATCTAACCGAGCAGCTTGGCACACACAGCCAGCACACACCCTGCTGTGCTTTACTCCCTCCGTGCAGGTGTGTGTACCCGAGATGAAAATCGAGGTGCCAGTCAGGTAATTATGTTTTAATCTTTTAAACTCGAACCATCACCTGACAGCTGGACAGGCAAATTATTACACAGTACCACTTCAGTGGAGCACAACATTTAGCAGAAGGGAATGCACACAACATGACTCGTGCCAACACTGTCAAACACAAACACGATGGAGGCCCAAGACACTAAAAAAACAAAAGTGGACAACACTACTCATGTTTCCACAAAGGAAAAAAATCCTTGGTGTTTCCTGTCTTCTGTTAGATTTCACATCAGGCCAATGGGGTGTATTCACCTCTTCAGCTCTAGCCTGGAAGCGGGCACGCAGTTCCTTCTCTTTGCCAATGAACCATTCTTCCCATGGTGAAAGATTATCTTTCAAAGGTGACTCTTTTGCCCCCTCTGCTATTTCTGAGTCTTCAGCCTTCCTGAATTAAAAATGAGAAACATAAGAGAATATTATCTGTAATGTATTGGATTGAAAGGTTAAGCAATGCTACTGTCTTGAAAAACTACATTTATGGCATAATGTGACAACAATGACATCATTTTTCTACTTGCTCAGTAACCTCCTTAACTGATAAATGGCATTTATAGTGCACCTCTGACCACCCCCCTTATATTCTACACTCTACTTGTTAAATTCTAGCTTGTTAGTGATTTCCACACCCCTGGCACAGCCCTTGCCCTCCCCACTCTAAACTGTGGAACAGATTCAATCATTACCTTCTAGAACCTAAACAAAAAAGAACACCACTAACATCAGAGTGTCACCTTCCTTCTCACACACGGAAAACAAGGAAAACCAGACCAAAATTAACATCCTGTCCTTGCCCACGGAGAGGCTTCATGTGTCAAGTAAACCTTAGCACAAGCAAGAAAGAAAAGAACATTTTTTCTTCTTTCAAGTATCATGGATTCATGATCTCAAGCCATCTCAGCATTTAGTCTAAGAGAGAAAGTTTTCCACCTTAAAAAGCTTTCACAGAAAACACACTTAAGAAATGCAGAAAGCATACAATACTTGAGGGTACTATACAAGGTTCTATCAGACTTTTCAGAGAATACCTTACATAACTCACTCATAACTCCTTTACTCATGAATAACGCAGCAGTCCTAGCCCCAGGTCAGAAATATCTTTTATAATGTTCTATACACACACACTATTTCTTAAGTAAGACAGCATATTAGGCTCAAAGTCAACAAATTTCTGTGATGGGAAGCATTTGGGGACAATATCAATGCCAAGGAGTTTTGTCCTGTTAGAAAATAACTCTCTGAAGGTTTATTAAAGATAAGGATAAAAGTATTCTGCATTCAAATTCAGGAAAAAACCCCACAACTTTGTACAGACTTGACGTTTTGGGCAGGGATACTTCCTCAATGCATTCCTTTGCTTTGTATGATTTGCATTATGGCACCTAGTGCTAGAACAAGGCTGACACATTAAATCAAACTTAGAACAAGTACTAGGAGAAGGAACAAATTAAGAAAAATAACATTTACTATGTGTTTTCTTGCATCAGTAATTATGAAGTTCAAGCTGCCAACTTCTCAAAAAAATGATTCACAGGAATAGATTAAAAATTTATTGTAGACAAATAAGCATGGAGCTTCAACAGAAGAAAATACACTCAATATGAAGACCTCAGTATGAATTTAGGAGAAACACCTCCCCAGTACCGTGTCCCAAGCTCTCACATTGCACCAGAAGGCAGACACATTTGGCATTAGAAGTGAAGTCTGATTAACAGAAAACACTGTGATAATCATTTGCCATATATTGATGTCACACCATCAAACACAACACTGCTGGTCCACAGTGAAAAGTAGGAAAATGCCTAAACACCGTTTCACAGGGCCTTGTTTACATCCTTTCTCTTCTGCAAATATTGCCATTTCCCACACTGAATGTCTGCCTCCAGCTGATTTTTGTGTCGTTTTAAGAGGACGACAACAACAACAAAAAGATTCAGAGCGTGTGCGTGCGTGGGGAGGGCAGTGGCTACGGAAGAAGTGTTTTTTGTTATTATACTTTTTGAGATCCTGGCACCTATACCTGGAATCTGCTGTGTGAAGATTTGGTAGGCACTCAGCACAACACAGCAGCAGCGTTACTCAGAAGTGGTGTCTGCATGAGAGAAGTATATATTGGGTGTATATATATATATATTAATTAGACTGTGCTAACTCAGGCCTAAGAGAGGTCGTCTTCGATCGCATCTTAGTGCTGCCAGAGAATACTGCAGCAACAGGCCCCAAAACTGAGAGCTGTTTCAAAGAGCATCTCAAGCTGTAAAGACATGCTGCAGCTTGAACCAGGTGCTACTGAACTTCAAGGTAAATGAAAAAAAAAAAATTATTCCTGGGAAGAAGTAAATGGTGACGTAACAGAAGAGCTGAGAGAGAAGGGACCGTAAACTGGCTGATACCTTTTTCGTTCTGAAGCTTCTGACTTTGCTTCAACATGCTTTTCCTGAACTCTTAGCGCCCTTTTCAAGAAAAGCTCGTAAGCAAAGTTCAGTGTGGTCCATATTCCTCCGTTTGAGAACCACGCTGGAACCCTCAACCCTGGCCCCACTCTGCACTTTTAGCTCAGTTCAGCCTTACTGGTTACGTTCACCACCAGTTAATGCACAAGTCTGTTAAGTTTCCATGGCAAAGTCTGTATTCCAGAGTAAGACAGACACTGCCTGCTCCTCCTCCTTTTGTTTTAAAGGGAGGAGTCAAAATTTATTTATTCTCCTGTCAAGCTGGTGAGATGCCAAGTAAAAAGGAGACACGCTAGGCTTGCACGTAATTCAAAGGGAGTGAAATTAAACCACAGGAGAGGGCACTGTGCAATGCATACAGGCAACACTGACTCTGGACACTCAGCTACACACACTAGGTGAAAAAGAGAGCCCTTTGGTCTCCAAGGACTTTTAAAAGGATGACAGGAAAGGCTGCAGCTTTTTCTCTGGCAAAAGACCCCGAAGCTGGGGTCAACTGCTTGTGAGACGGTTTACAACCCCCAAAAAAACACTCAGCTGCCCCCCCGAGACGACTTTCCAAGATAAAGGGAAAAAGAAAAACAACAAAACCAAACAACCAAACAAACAACCCCCCCAAAAAACAAAACAAACAACAACAAAACAAACAAACAACAACAAAACAAACAAACAAAACCCCATGCAAACCAAAACGGCACAATAAAGCGCTTATCTATGCAAACAAGTGTATATATTTATGTAAGACAAGCCCCTGTCCCCAGGGTCCCCAGCGGAGGGAAGGAGGGAGGGATGGAGGTGACCGCGGGGGCAGCGCGGGGCTCGCCGGGGCAGCGCGGTCACAGCCCCAGCGTTACCTCCGGCCCGGAGCCGCCCGCTCCTCCTCCTCCTCCTCTCCGCCTCCTCCTCCTCCTCCTCGCCGCTCGGGGAGCCGCCGGAGGGCCCGGGGGGCTCCTGATGGCCGGCGGCGGGGGAGCGGGGCGGGCTGAGGGCGCTGTCCCCGCTCATGGCGGGGCGGCCCCTGCGGTTACGGGCGGGCCCGGCCCTCCCGGCGGCACCCGCGGCCCCCGCAGCCCCGGCAACCGGGACCGCCTCAGCGCCCGGCCCCGCCTCGGCCCCGCCGCCTCAGCGCGGCGGTGACTCGCAGTCTGTTCCCTAGGAACTCCCTCCACAGCCGTCCTTTTCTCAGCAGCGTTTCTGCGCGCGTACCAGCTCAGTAAATAAATAAATAAATAAACAAACCAGCAGCCTCGCCTGCAGGTGACACACCGGTGGGTCAAGGAGGAGGCCCCTTAACGTTTGCTGGCTGCCCAGTCAGAGTCTGTAACCCAGTGCTTGTTGTCTTGAATCGCAAAAAAAAGAGCACGTTTCGGTCACACCCCGTTGCTATCTCGTTTCTGATTTAAAATTCTAAAGGCTTTTCGGTTGTCATACATCTCTGCTGGGCAAATGGTGTCCTTTCCCCTTCTCTCAGTTGATTCTCCAATGAGCAACAGCTATTTGTTAGAAATAGATCAGATCCCATATATATATATATATATATATATTCCTATCCTTGTTTGCCAGTAGATTTTTTTGCCAGTAGATTTTTTTGGTCAATATTTGTGTGGTTCCAAACCCCAGGCGCGCAATCCCTTCTTCACTGCTGCTGCTGGGCCACCTTGACCCAGGATCAGCAACAAACCTGTATCACCAAAGCTTTTCATTGCCTTCAGATTTCATCCACCAAGGAGAAAACTGCTGATTAACACTGGGCAAATTTTTATGAAACTTCACTGGGTCATTTTGCTGTGGCTGACTACGCAGAAGCATTACTGATATTAACATGAAATACAGAAGTTTGAAGGTGATTGTAAATTTGGTCGCTATATTAACTATTCTTACCAAGATTCTCCAAGTATATGAGTTTAACAAGAAATATATCTTCAGCTGGATAAATGTTAAATGTAAAAAAATGCCCAAATGATCATAATTTGGAAATTTTAAGATGGGCAGTTTGGTGCTTGGGCTGCAGAGCCACAAGCACCCCAGTCCATAATTTCTCTGCCAAAAGGGCTGCATCTCTCCTGTCTCTCAGGAGCACATACTTCCCCCTCCCTCTTGCTCACCAGACCCTCCACTGACCCACAAAACCTTACTAACGCTGTAGAAAACTCTTTGGGCAAGCAAACTCTTTGGTCTGAGCAAGTTAAAGCTTAGGGACATGTGTGACATCTGCTGAGGCCAAAACCAGGCAAGACCCAGGAATGGAGAGCCACAAGCTAGAAGGGAGAGGCAGAGGTGACTTTCCCCTTCCAATGGTGGAGCTTCTGCATTTTTCTTACCATCTCATGGGAACTGCAGCTTTGGCAGGTTGGAGAAATATCATTACGGTTCCTGAAAGAAAAAAACCCCAAATACTGCCCCATCGCTGATCATATGTGCTGATAACCACTTGATCGTCTGGAATGGTTTTCCAGCAAGCTGAAAAAAACCCACAAAAAAGGCCTGAATGCCTCTCTGATCCAAGCATCCCCAGAATATTGACGACATCACCATGCAGCAAATTGATGCTGATGATGCTGAAATGACTCCAGCCACTTGTGGGAGATTATTTGATGATAATCAGGCTCAACAAAGAAGCAAGTATGACCAGCCACGGTGTCTAAAAAATGAATGACACCTCTTGAAATAATTTAAAATCATTAAAATAAATTTAAAAAACCCAAAATAATTTAAGCTGATGATTTAAGTATTGGAGACAACAGAATACCAATAGAATCTAAATTTCCTGCCAGTTAAAGTTACAAGAAGAAGACAATTTCAAATACTCCCTAACTGCCATCCACAATATTCGAGAAAACCTTTTACACAGAAAATATCAAGAAAGCAACTTTACAGGTAACAGACATAGAAATGAATTAAACTCTAGGCACAAATCAACTAGTCTGAATCACTAAGTACCTTGATCTGCCTACTCTTTATGAAATACTTCAGTCTTAGAAATTCAACTGTAATATGATAAACAATCTTTGAAAACACGAGGGCCAGCAGAAGGAAGCTTCTCAGTTCAACTTGATGACTACTACCCAGATTTAATGAAAATAATCAGATCAGATGTAATGTCTAGTTCCACACTTGTATTCAGGAACATAGAAGCATAAAAATAATCCTATGGAAAAAAAAAATTACTAAATTTAGACAGAAACAGAGGCTTAGACAACACGCCTTCAGCTTGAAGAAAAGAACATAGATCTTAATTTTACTTGCAACCTTAAAAAGAGTAGAAAATTTGAACCAAATATAGACGAATTTAAGAAGTTTTCCCAAGTCTTCGGGTTTTCCAGTGGGACAAAAAAATAGCGTAGCAGACACAGGAGCGAGGGAGAAACTTGGCTCACGCTCCGTGTCAGAGCTGAACAAGCACTGCCTATACTTGCCTACTGGCTATTTTTGTGCCTGAATGTGCAGTTCTGCTCGATTGGAGGCTGTGAAACCCGAGAGGTCCTGGATTGCTTCACTTCCCTTTTCACAGCACGGTGTATTCTCCTCGCTGCACTGCCCTGCACACACCACCAGTGCCAGCCCAGGCTCTGCTGACTGCAGACGGTGGAGCAGGGCCTTGAGATCAGAGTTTTTCTCTCGTCATTTTAAAATCACACCTTTTTAAATCACCAGGAGGAATCGCACTCAGCCCAGCTGGTTTATGTGAGTTTATTCTTCTGCATAAAGTCTTTCTTTTAAAGCATCAGATAGTAACAGGTTAACTTGCTCATTTTTGGGTTGAAATTTTCAAGACACAGGTTATGCTTTTGTTACCGGTGAGAGCGCTTCATATTTTGTTTCCCTCAAATCAAAATAATTTCCCTATATCAGACACCATAGTGACCACTAACTAGTATTCCTGAAGTAAAACCTAAACAATGATATTTTATATTACTGTAGTGCCATCAATGTAACATATAAGTCCTTTCACCCTCCAAGTCCTTAGAGGACACAACAGTACAGAAATCAGCAATTTGTGATGAATTACCTCATTTCAGGTTTAATTTCCTTATTTATAGAATCATCTTCAGCTGACATTTAGCACTAAATCAGACTCTACAGCACAGTATGCGAAAGATAATATTAAAAAAGTCTCCTCCTAAAAAACTTATGCTAGCAGTACAAGATGAAAAGCATTTATGTAACTAAAACTTATTGAGAGTACGCATGAAACAAACTCTGCATCGAGCTTTTAATTAAAAAATATTACCCTGTAAATTAAAACTGAAGGTTTAAAAATAGTAGTCAAAGTGAAAAGAATTAATGAGGTATCTTTTGTGTAAGTTTGAAATCTCTGAGTAAATTTATGAATAAACACAGGAAATTCCACTGGAAAGAAATGAAAAGAGGGGCAAAAGGCATCTAGACAAAAAAGCTGCAAAGCAGATGCATTATTTTTGCGAGAGAATGAAAATACTCCATCTCCCCAGCGTCCTGCCACAGAGCAGGCTAACAGCCATCTGTAAGGAATTACTCTGCATGGGGGAAAGGTATGGGAATACCTCTGGCAATAGTATTTGCGACTGTCTCCCTGCAAAAAGCCGCTTCCTCACAACAGCAGATGAGGGAGAAAAACAACAATTAAAAAAAAAGGTCTCTCCTTGCCCTATTTTTTTCATTTAAAGTCAACAGCAAATCCTTTTTGACTGCTAAATCCAGCACTGGAGTTCGGTAGGACAGTTTAGTTTGTTTAGAGAGGTCTGGAAGCAAGGTATGTGACACTGCCACTGTAAGGGCAGTTTCAGCAAGCTTTAGACTCTAGAAAATTGGAGGATTTATTCCCTGCGGACCTCCAGAAGGGTGTAAGGTGAGGTTTCACTTATTTGAGCCTCAAACCTGAAATTAGGAAGCCTTGCCTAGCTGAAGAGGAGGCTGCTGGGGGGATGACAGCTCAAAAAGCCCCTGGCACACAGGTCATCAAAAATCCCACACGTTGCCAACACAACACTGCTCCAAGGCAAGTTTTCCATGTATTTGACACTGCTTTTGGAGCGGGAGCGAGTTCTAGGTGGATGTGAACACCTGAACATTCCGTTGTGCCCTAGCCCCAGATCAGCTTGACCAGCAAAGACACAACAAAGGTACCTGGCGCAGCTGGATTTGTCCAGATTCTCCTTATGTGATCATCCACGGGTGGTTCAGGCACGTGGTCATGTCGAGGGAGGCAAGTTTCGCAGCACTGCTTCTTGCTGGGCTGCTTTTAGTGGCTGCTGCCTGTATTCTGTCACAGAACCTGTGTGTGCTGGAAGACACTGGGCTGACTGCAGTAAAGGGTTAACCACCAGCATAACTGAACCCCAAAAACACACTGATGTAAAATGAAGTACTGGAGCTTCGAATGGATCACATCTGACCTTTTTTAATAGCATTTCAGTGAAGAGTCATTTGTAAAACACAGAGGAAATAAATCCATTCTCAAGAGCGTTGTTTGAAAATACAACTGGCTTTCTAGAAGCCTGGTGCTTGGATTTCCTGCTCTCCTGATTATAAATGGCAGCTGACATTTATAGTCCTTTTTGAGAAGCATTCTTGTCACCTTTGACAGGTTGGCCAACAGGGGCAATGTGGGACAGACTGTGACTCTTACAAAATGACAGCTTAAAAAAAAAACCCCAACTCTCAACATAAAAAAAAATTACCAATATGAAAATTATAATCTGTATGATTATCCAAGCCATACTAAAAACATTTTAACTCAAACATGATACATAACATCTTTAATCAAGAGATGGCTTTGTAAGAGAGAGTAAACTTCTCGCTGAAGGTTTTAATCTTTTGAATGCCAAGACTCAGCATTAGTCAGAGATCATAAATCCACGTGTAAATTGGCAACTTTCTTATTTTTCTGGCAGTTCTTTCGTGAATTCACCACATGCAGCTGAGAGCAGATGACATTATTTATGCTCAGTAATTCTACATGTGCACCATTTTCAGCATTGACTTTAGAAAAACAGAGATAAATAACAATCAATATTCATGTACCCT